ACACATATACACACATATATATATACGCATACCTATATATACGCATACGCATATACGCATACCTATATATACGCATGCGCATATACGCATACCTATATATACGCATATACGCATACATATATACGCATACATATATACGCATACATATATACGCATACGCATACATATATACGCAGACGCACACATATATACGCACACGCACACATATATACGCACACGCACACATATATACGCACACATATATACGCACACGCACACACGCACACGCACACATATATACGCACACGCACACATATATACGCACACATATACGCACACATATACATACACATACATACACATACATATACATACATATACATATATATGGCAAATTGTTGTTTACTGCTGGATTAATGCTCTGAATATCGTATAGAGAACTGTTAGACTCCACATATAGTCTACTGTGTACACATACCAGTACTTCATTACCTCCAGTTGTCAGAATGCTGTTAGCAGACTGCCAATCCACCGGTACATCTACAAAAGGTCCTCAAGTGAGGTAAAATGAGGTTAAAATACAGCACAGTATAAGATCTAAATACTGTAGTGGAAATAACCAGGTTCCTAAAAAGATCACTCATCACATTTGTAAACATTAATGTCTTGGTCCTGGAACACACTTTGTAGTCCAGGACCAAGACATATTTTGAAAAGTTTTGAGAGGTTTTCGTAACTTTTCTAACAAATGATAGATCAGAGCAGGCCAGCCTGGAACTACATTGACTGACATTGTTTGTTGTTGCACCAGAAGCTTCAACAATGAGTGTAATTGAAGAGACGTATGCCTTCTCTCGTGTTTGGGTTCCAGGAGGTGAATGATGAGCTGAAAATATCTCACAGCAGTTTGTGATGAAACACACAGTAAACACACTCTCTTGGTTGTGGTATTGCTTTTTTATATATATTTCATGAAATATGCATCCTGTTGACATTCTTCCAATTCTTTTTTTGGAAATGTATGGCACTCAGAGTCAAACACAGTGATGATGCAAAGAAAAGAACACTCTTAAGACAATTTGGTGAGAGGACTCAAACATGATGCAAGTGAAAAACAAAGCTGGGGGTTATCACCAGAAACCACCTCCTCCAGCCTGCCTAAGGTTTATACGCTCAGGACGGCTGATTGGTTTAGTTAAACTCCACAACTCTGCATTTACATCATATTCAAATTGTTCCCCTCAGCTTCCAGAGGGCAGTAAAACATGAATATAGCGTATCACAATCCATGAATAGTTGAACATTTGGGTAACTTCGCTGATTCGATTTATTTCTGAGAGTGACATGAGAAGATAAATATCAATGTCTGTGTAAAATGTGGAGCTGTAGAAGGACACATGTAGCTTAGCTAAAGGATAAAGACTGGAAGCAGAGGAACGGCAGCAATGAGCCTAGCTTTAGCTGGTCTTTTTTGGAATCATTACAGAGCACTTCATTACCATAATATCATGTATGTAACCATCAAATTCATATTGAAGACGCTTTTGCAGATTTGTCATTTTCATGCGAGTTAGCTGCAGACATTTAAACATGAGGATGACGCGCAAAGAAAACACCAGCTCTGCACTTGACGCGCATTTTTTTAATCAATCTTCTCATCTCACTCTCGGAGAGAAAGCTCTTTTCCCAAAATGCCGAACAATTCTTTGATCTGAGAAATAATTCATCAGGAGCAGAAAACTGACTTTTACAACTTCAGCCAAGTTTTTCTAATTCGACTTGAAATCAAATCAAACACTGAAGACACACAAAGTCTTAAAAAGTAACCAAATTCATGTTGGCTCCAAAGGACATAAAACGTAACAATAACCATATCAATAATAATAATAATACAAATTATCCGCTACAGAGCTGCCTAGCACAGTAATACTGTTAGAGAGGGGGACCCATTGTGCTGTACAGGCAGATAGACAAACACACATAGAACACACACTGTAGTACATTCTGGAGTAAAAAACACTTCATAATTGTCATCATGCAATAAAGAAGAACATAAAAATAACATGGCACATAGGTGATCATCATCTCAGTCCGTTATCATAAACACATCAAATATAGAGACACTTAGCAAATATAAAGTTATTGCATTTTTCATTATTACTTCATATAAGACACTATACGCGAGGCATACTGTGGAAAATCTTCTCTACCCAAAGTGGATTGTGGGTAGTGACTAGCTGATTGTCCTTTAAATGGCTGCGTCCCTTTTTATGCGTTTCAGAGCTACTGGCCTCGCACTGAGGGAGCGGTGATCCAGGCTTTGCTGTTGGGGAACGTCCCGGTAGAACTTTATCACTGGTGGTGCTCATGAGATACTCCAGCACAGTGTTCCTCTAACACTCACAACACAGGGATCACAAAAGCTGATGTCACCGTCACTCACTTACCTCCAAGTATAAAGAAAGACGATGATTTGGCACGTTTTAGCTCATTAAAGAGACACTACCGTAATTATTTGTCAGAGGGAGTACTACTAGGTTTGAGAAAACGGTTGCATGTGATTTGTGGCTCTTGGGGAGTAACCCTGATGATGTCATAGTGATGTAATCAGGGTTATCTCAGCTTGGGCCTGGAGAGTATGAACATATGATGGTGGAGTTTATCAGATAACAAAATCTGTCTCTTGCAGGTCCTCTGACTTTCTGAAAGTTTATCAGTAAATTGATGTAGTACCCCTTAAAAGACAAATTAGGCACTTAGCATTCCTGTCGACCCTTTTAAGAAGAAAGCAATGAAACTGGCCTCATGAGTGAAGTCCTGTTTGTTTGACCCCTCGTAACCAGTCCTTGCAGACTTCTTCTCTTGCTATACTCATCATACTCTGTAACTTTCAATAGCGGTCGCTCAATATACTACGTCGCTTATTCTGACAGACTAAGAGCACAGCATTAAGTGCACATTTATCCTGCTACCTGTGTAGAGTTACACAGCTGCTCCATCTATTTATTTATCCCTGTACATTTTCAGAGACACATTCGTCACGTTGTTACTAATGCGTCACATTCCGATGATGCTTCACGAACACCACATCAGATAAAGTGTTACCGGGTTCGTTTACGGAGAAAAGCTTCATGTCATCAGGTGAGGCTGTAACATGTAACCCATACAGATCCTGGATCACCAGCTCCCTCTATATTTCAACTCTCTGATTGACTTCCCGACATTTTGTTTGGTCAGTAGTTACGACCGACTTTGGAGGCTGGCTCAGTCCATGAGCATGGCACTAACACTGCTGAGGTTAGAGGTTTGAAAACACTACGTCCATGTACATGCACCCTGCACTGTGGTTTACCGGAGGCTTCATAAGCCTCACGTTAATGCTGATCAGACTCCATCTAATACCTGGATCCCACTGAGCAGAGGAGTGCGGGGTTGACTGACACCGACTTCTTTGTGTGTGAGAGCGTGTGACAGATGGGAATTTTGGGTAATTTGTCAGACAGATGTGCTGCCAGACAGGGATGTTTTGTCCTCGTCTGTCTCTGAAATCCCAATCGGGGACACACACACACACACACACACACA